AAGTGGTCCTCTTTCACTGGAGCTTGTTTTTTGGAAAAGCTGATTTTTAAAAATTTACTGCGCATTGTGTTTGCCCTCTTGGTTTCTCCAAAATTTTGACTTTTTGTCGGCACGTGTTACATGTAAGTGTCAATGGGTTAAAGGCTATGTTAAGAGTTACATGGTTTTCAGAGCACACTATCTTGACCCAATGGCTAATAAAAAAAATCAAGAGAGAGACTGGGCTCGGCCACAGAATATTAATACATATTATGGGATTAAAAGATCCCATGTGTGGACAAGGGAAAACAATGAGAGATTGATATCAGCCTAGGAGAAAATGCATTGTTACATTAGTTTTTGTGTGAGATTGAGCAGAGCGTAACATTTGGTGACCCTGATGTGACAGAGAAGGCTTCTTTACCCTCAAGAGTTAGACCCTTAAGTAAGATGTACATTGCAATTTATTATCCCATACAATCAAGTTGATTTGTTATGGGCTGTTAAGCAAAGTCCTTTTGAACTGTACAATGATTACTAACTAGTTTGAGAATGAGTTCTAAATCTTAGTTTTTGCAGCCAAAGATCTCTGTTATAGTTGAGACTAGGAAAGAACCTTCATTCCCTCCTCAGAGATAGCTGCTTGAATCCCAGATTGACAGCTGCAAATTACAGCCAATGTTACAAAAACATGTTTCACCACATCAAACAACTGACAACTTACCATCTTTCTTATTCTATTTACAACACGTGACGTTATTGATGTTGGGATCCTACTAGCAGTATGCAGGATGTGTGTCATATATGGATTTTGTAATGAGCCTTGCTCACCATGGAGTCTCTATGGCTCAGTGGTAGAGCATCGGAGCGGAGAACCTAATGGTATGAGGTTGGATTCCTCACAAGGACAAATGGAATCTTTTCTTTGTCCCATGCTTTGATGCTTGCTCTCTATTTCTTTACCAAGCTCAAAACATACCATCTTTCTTATTTTATTTACAAAACACCCTTTGTTTCAACGTAAAGCCCTAGATATACAAAAACCCTTTTAAGGATGGAAAATTAAATAAACTAAGCAATGATACTCCAACTACTGATCTCTTTGAGGTCACCTTAGGTGACTAACTCTAACTACTGATCTCTTTGAGGTCACCTTGGGTGACTAAAAAAACAGTTTTTTATTATTGTATGATGTGGTTTGAAAGAATCTTATCGCATGCTCACCATGGTACATCAGTTAACACAGGCGAGGTTAAAACCAAGACCAAACTTAAAGTAAAGTCTAACTTCATTAAATTAAATATTACATAATTCAAACTTATAGCAGTAGAAAAAAAGTGCTAAATTTAAATTTTAATTAAGGTGAATTTGTTGTTTGACGTTCAAGCAAATTCTATCTAGCATGGATGAATTAATAAACTGAACAGAAAAACAGACCTGATACATGACTTGTATGGTCCAAGAAAATACACTTTTATGGATGCTATTCTTAATAAAATATATTGTTTTATCATTATAAAGTATGATATTTATGAAACATAACGATGAAGGTCTGCTAGACTTGTAGTCTGTTTCATATCTCCAAAATTCCACACTCCTGCAATTATTTCCTGCACTACACCAATGATTGAATGTACTTGAATGGCACAGCTCAAAGTTTGTGTGTCATCCTGCATCTGCTCACATGAGTAATCTTATTTTATTTTCTCCAATACTGCAAATGAATTAATGAAGGCTTCATCATGTATTCCTTAACTAAAGAATCTCTGTGAAAGACAGTAATAATGCACTTTTGGGGAATTTATCAGGACATATCAAAATAAAAATATCTTCCTGTTCAATCAACAACAAAACTTAAAGTGACTATCTATGAAAATACACACAGAAGACAAAAGGAAACTCAGTCTGATGAAAACAAAATATTTCGGGATATGAAAAATTAAGTGTTCAAGGAGAGAGAACATGTTGTCCACTTGCCAAAGGACTAGGAAACCCTGTTGGGGAAAATTGTCAATGAAAACTTACTGTAGATGGAACTAACCTGGGCAAACTTGTGAATATGTTCCACTACAACTGGGAACATAGCAGTGACACTTTCATCAATCAGTGATTGCAAGTACTGCACAGCTTCCTCATCACTGAGGTCCAAACGGAATTTGTCTTGAACCTAACATTTCAAAAACAGAAATTCAATTTAATTAAAATATAAAACATTGACTCTCTTGATGTTAAATTATGTAAATAATAACATTCAACTCTGAACTTTAAGAGGAAACATTTTAAAACCCTGAATTTTACGTTACTAGTGAAAATAAAGTTGCCTTTGTTGGCTACAATGGACTGTTGAGCAGTCTACTTCACTTTCCAGGTTAAATCCCTTTTGAAGCTGTATGATCTCTTGAAATCAAGGTGCACACTTACTTTTTTCACAGTTTTGTCAGGCTCTAATGCAATATCTGGTACATTTGCATCCACCATAAGAGAAAACAAGTTTAGAATCAAGTTTGCATGCCTGAAGGAAAGAAATATAATTATAAAATTACATTTGTACATGTACATTTTCAAACGTATATTTTTGTAAAGAGTCTTTTTCTTAAACTCATCAATGTCACGTGTCTAAATAAAGTTATTCATTCATTCATTCATTCATTTGTAAACTGCATTCAATTATTTCTCGTAATTTCCCTTTCCACTAATTGACCAAATAGAACAAAAGAAATGCTCTGTTGCTTATAGTCTGGATCAATAACTGGTATTCAATGATTTTAACTCTTTCACCCCTTAGAGTGACCAGCATCTAATTTCTTTTTACAATATCACCTCTGAATCACACATTAAGGTTATGAGAATAAAGGAAATGATCATCAAGCCATTAACTGTGAAACAAATTCTCTTTGTCAACACCTTAGGAAATGTATTGAGAATGGTATGGAGAATATGTACACTGATGTTAGGTTGCAAAGGGTTAAGTGTGAAATGATTAAATAAAGGAAAACCTGCCAATTCAGGGATACTTGTGAAAGTGTAGTGTGATCATTCATGTGAATGTAGTCCTGAGAAGTGTTGTAATATTGAAACCTTTGGGGATCCCGTTAGGGACCCCTGAGTGATTTGCACAGGCACTCCAAAAATGGGAAGCCATGTGTGTTGCGTTGTTGAACTTTCGAGTTAGCGGGCGTGTTAAAAAAGCTGAGTTTATGCTTGATTGAAGGATATTGTAACAAGAAGGAACTGTTGTTGGTGGTGGTGACTGATGTTTCAACAACCTGTGTGGAAGTCATTATCAGGTTGCACAGGTTGTCAAATTATCAGTCACCACACTGACAACGTTCCTTCTCAGGACTACACTCACCTGGATGATCACACTACACTTTCACATGTTACCCCTGGGTTCAAACCATTTACTGCATCAGGGATACATGTTGAAAATAATTTAAAAGCTATGCAATAGACAATTCTTGAGAAAATCTCACCTCATTCACCAGTGGTATGGTGTGGAGAACACGCCTTCTGATGTTGGGGTGTAAAGGGTTAACCTGAAAGCCTTTTTTGCCCCCCACACTTTAGAAGAATTATCACTTTAAATAAAATGTTCTTACCTCCTCAAGTGGAGAAAAGCTGTGAAACATTGTTTCCTGAATGTCTGGTAAAACTCACTAGCTGCTCCCCCCATACCTTCCACCTAAAATTAGATGATAAAAGGAAATTATACTTTTAAAATGTTTATTTATAATTATACTACCTTGTGATAATCCAAATTTGAAGCATAAAAGGTGTGCAACCTTTTTCAAATTCATTGCAATAGCAACAAAAAATAATTCTAGCAGAAATAAAGATCATTACATAGAAAGTGATGAAATGGTGATCATTTTGTTACCATTTCTTTGCTCAGTTTCATTGGTGGAGGTAGTGGCTTAGGATCTCTTCCAAGAATGTAACCAAAGTCGATGTGAAAGAGGTTTCCTGAGAATAAAGATAGAGAAAACAAATTGAATGCATCGGTACTTTGTTTAATTTGCATTTAAAACAATCCATTTTCTATAGAACCTTGAATCAAAGTTCTAAAACTGTACTTGGTAATTACCTGATTTTGTGAGAAGTAAATTGTCCAGATGTCTATCTCCTACACCCAAGATGTATGTAATAACACAATAGCCAGCTTAAAGTCGGATAAGATAAACATTGGTCAGAATATTAAATCAATATTCAGAGATTATTATTTTGAGAGTGGTATTCTTTGATTAAAAGCTCACTATTTTACTGTCTACTTGAGATACAGAGGCCTAATGATCAGGCACTTTAGACTGATTGAAAACTTTGGGTTTGCAGCCTGGCAAGCTAAATTTATTCCTTTCTGGGGGATGAGACACCTCTCTCCATTTGGTAAGTACATATTGGAAAACCTGTTGAAATGCTTTGGCTATAGGGGGTGGGGGGGGGCAGGGGGGCAGTAATACAACTTGCTACTTCAGGCTACAGAACATAAACTGGGATTTGCTCTAGAAGTCATGAATCCAGTTTAGTTTGCAGACCTACCACAACTTTTGACATAAGTATCCATCACCTCTGGGCTGATTCCTAGTGGTGCACTTTCACACGGAGCATGCCGGCGAAAATAGTTCTGTAAAACGAAAAGTAGCCACTTGGACTATCAAGATATAATTATTTCCTTCAATTATTTCAGAACATGGTAACTAGAAACAAAGCATTAATGGGATTTTCAGTGCTGAAGGACAAGGCAGGTCTTGTTAGGCAGAGTTGCTTGTTGCAAAATTTTTTTTTCCGTACCTGTATACTTCTATCTTCATCTTTGTCCAAAATTTCTGCAATGGGAGTAGACTCTATGAATTGTACAAAACCTAAAAAGTAACAACAGCAAATCATGATAAATAAAAAAAATATATATATATATATATATGTAGGCTTAGCTAAATCATTCATTAAGATCACGAGAATAATGGAAATGATCAGTACTGATGTTCAGGCATTAAGGGTTGAAGCAAATTAAATAATAATAATAATAAAAAAAAGTCTTTTTATAGGATTACACAATTACTGGTGAACCAGTAGTTTCCATTGTGGTCCTTGCAAACGAATGAAACAAATGGTCTAAATTGAACATAACATCATTAAGAACATCATTAAGAACCCCAACTGGCCGGAGGCAAACCAGTTGGCTATTTACAAGCGTGGCCAAG